CCAAACCCCTTGCCTCTATTCCTCCCTCCACTTCATGCCACGTTTAAGGTAGTAATCTCCAAAACTGGATGTATATATCCTAAAGTATTATCAGATGATTCATAAGGATGTGAGAAGAAAATGAGACATTCTACATTTTCCAAATTTAGATTAAAAAATTGTACTTATATTTAATATACAAATGGGCACTGGCACCTTCCTTCAGGCCATATATCAAACTGGTACAAAGAGAAGACTAGTAGTTCCACAACAGAGAAGGATTAAGAGTGGTGCCCTCAGCTGGATGTTCCTTCCACTTCTGCACACCGAAACATTTCCGCATACATTCTACAGAATAAAAACAGATCTTTAAACAGTAGAATCTCTGTAAAGAGACAGTGAATGGCAATTACTTTCTGGTTTCCTGGTCTCTCCTATGGCCAAGTGTGTAAGGGTTGGATTTAAAGATAAGCATTTTCCTTTTACACAGAGAAGAATTCTCCACTGACTGTTTATGAATTTATGACAAGGACATGACAAGTGGTACATGCTCCCTAGCAGATATTTTCCAAAAAACAAAACACACTTAATCTGTCTTTTCAAAATAAAGATAGCACTTTAATAATGAGTAAGAAAGCAACCACTTTTCAAAGACTACTTGTACTATGAGGAGAGCATTTGAAAAACTGTATTTGGAAATGTTTCCATTGTTCCATAATTTTGTTGCTGAAAACGATGTCTATTAAAAACACTGCTTATTTTTTAAGTCATTATCTATATAGTTTACAAAATGTTTAAAGACATGTAAAGACTATTCCAACCAATCTAAGTCTTCTGAACAAAGAGCCTGAAAAATTGAATTTTAAACCTGTGTGTATATATGCAATGTCAATTAGTCATAGTAACAGAAAAACTGATTGAGATCAGGAATGAAAGGAATGTCATTGCCAAGTTCAACACAATTCTTTGCATAATTGATCATTTAGAATTGAAACATTAGGAGCAGAGCAATTCTTCAATTAGGATCAGTTTTTCCATTAGGATCGATGAATCTCTGAAGGTACCTTTTTTCCAGTCATGAAAGTCATTAAAATCAAGTATCTGGCTGGGTCCTGTGGCTCATGCCTGTAATCTGAGCACTTGGGAGACAGAGGTGGGAGGACCACTTGAAACCAGGAGTTCAAGACCAGCCTTGGCAACAAAGCAAGAGAATCCTCTACCAAAAAAAAAAAAAAAAAAAAAAAAAATCAAGTGTCAAAATAAACTGAATTTGGAATCAGAACTCTGAATAGCTGTATCTAAGTGTTACACCAAGATTTATCCTAACCATCAACACAGCACATGAAAATAAAAAATCAGCAACAGGAAATGTTTACTGGATGCTTTAACATTATTTTAGTTTACAAAACCCAACCATCAAGAACAAAACATAATCCTCAGATTAAGTTTAGTCAAAAATCATTTTGCCAATGCTTCTGAACTCAAACTATAAAATTCAAATATCACTACCTCTGACTTCCCATAAGGACTAAATAAAACCTCACAAATGAAAGTGCCTACTACAATGCCTGACATAAATACATACTCAATAAACATTAACTGCCTTTCTTTTGATCTTAGGCCATGTGATGTAATACTTGCTAGATGTGCGACGGGGCAAATTGCTTAACTCCATCTGTAAAATGGAAATATTAATGCCCACCTTATAGGGCTAAAGTCATCAAAGAATAATGCATATAAAGTCTTTCGACCCACAAAAGGCATTAATAAATCTTGAACCCTCTTTTTTCAAGATAATCTATTCATAACCGTATAAAAAGTATAGAATCATGGGTCGTTGAATTCAAAAATATACATCAGAATCCCTATCTTTTTAAAGAATTACAGCATTACAATACCATAATACGACACAGAGATGAAGTGTATGCTCCATTAGTGTTGACTGAACTCAGGTGAATTGCTAAGTCCATTACCATTTGGCTAATTGTGGCGGACTGGAGAGTCTCTCCAAGGGTAGGACTCTCACCTCCTGGTGAGGGACTGGGTCTTACTGCTCTCCAACCAGGGCTCTTTCCACTATCTTGCGTACTCTCCCTAGTTTAAGTCATGTACATACTGATAAAATTATATACTGATTTATAGTCTCTAGCACAAATTCACTTAAGGGTCATAATAAGGTATTTCCATCATTTAAGATTTTCTGTGGCTAAGGAAGTATGGGTTGGGCAAAGGGTAGAAGCCACTCTATTCCTGTCAAACCCAAAAGTGAATATACTTTAAGTAAAATATTATGCATTGAACACACAAATGCAGGTACAATTGTATGTGGTGAGTTGAAATTCAGATGAAGCACCTGTATACCAATGAGTGAACTCACAGTTGACAAGTAGAAGACAGGTTTTAAGTAGATGACAAGTAGAAGACAGGTTTTAAAATGTCTGAAAATTGCAGCTTCAGCGCTTTTGCAACACCTGCTTTTACGATCTGTCACGTGGAGCAAAGAGGCATAACTCAACAGCACTACTAGGGCCACACGACCATTCACAGGCTGGGTACACAAACCTATCTTGTAAACATATAATCAAGCAAAAGCAGGCAAACCGGCACAGGAGGCCTTCACCTAACTTTCTTCCAGATGGCAAACGCTGCACGATGACAAACAAGGCAAACATGGTGTGCAAGTAGCCAACCCAAAACCAATAACTAGGGATTCTGACATCCAGAGGTCCTCTTCATCCTTAATCGTTCCAGAATGTCATCGCAAAAGGCAGGGTTTGTTTGCCACAAAACCCTGCGGCCCCTCACATCCCAAGGGACAATTCTGGTCACCTCCTCCCACGGACCTATTGAGCCTGCTTCACAGACCCCCCGAAGCACTGACTCAATTATTCCCATAGTGTAGATTCCATTACATCTGTTAAGTTTCCGGAACACGTGATTCAGGAGAGCAAACTTGTTAAACAGACTAAACAACACTCTAACACATTTCTCTGAGCCGTGCCACACTCGGGTCCAAACAATTCCCAAGGAGGGAATGACTGTCACCAATCTTGGATGGCACCGGTTCAAAGCGCCCTAAAGAGGGGAGCGAGCCCCGCCCGGCTGGCTGCCCGGCAGCTCTTACCCATTTGTCCAAGGGGACCTGGGCGAGGGACCCGGTGCCTTGGTACAAGTCCAGGCTGAGCTGCTCCAGGCTCAGCTTCTCCTGCAGAAAGTGGCCCAGGTACCTCTGCAGGAGGTACCGGCAGGCCCTCTTCTTGATAGACTCCGAAAACGGCCAAGGCATGGTGACTGCTGGCAGCTGGGCTGACTGCGGCTGCGGGTGGCGCTGGCTCCGGCCTCAGGGCAGCGACTCCGGCTCCAGGCCGCGGCGGGGCCTAAGCCTGGGGCGGCCCCTTCATCGCTGTTTGGCGCCGGGAGTTCCTCAGGGAGACCCCATCGCCGGCGCCGCGCCGCTCGCGCTGGGCCTGGCGGAGGCAAGACGCAGAGGGGTCCTCCTGGCCCCAGGCCAGGGGACTTCCGAGGGAGATCCCAGCCGGCTCAGAGAGAGTGCAAGAGAGCGCGAGGGGAGGCGGCAGGGGCTGAGGCAGACACCTCCACTGCCGCCGCGCGACGAATTTGTTGTCATCCGCGAGGCGCGTTCCCGGCTGTAGGGACGCTTCTGGCGCGTTCGCGAGACCCAGACTCCCGGCGCGCCGTCGGGCGCTGGCGGAAGTGACACCACACAGG